CCAGAAAACCATTGTTTTTGGAATGACCGCCCATTATCATTTTTGGGAAATGTCGTATCTGGTTGACAAGGACCTACACTGCAGCACATAGAAATGTAGCTGTCATTGCACTTGATGTGAAATGCTTCACCATGGGAAGGATCTGTTGGATTTTGCGTAGTACGTAGCTTTGCAATTGTGTCGTCACTTTCACATACAGCTAGTTCTTCTTCATGGCTTTCTTGTTCTCTTTCCATCTCACCCTCACTTTCATTATGAGAGAGCACTGTTTCTGCTGCTGTCCATGCTATGGGTTCTGACATTTTGACATCTGACTCTGTGATAACTTCTTCTGCCTCATCTTCCATGTTCATGAGTGGCCTATTGCAGGACAGCATAGAGCTGCTTCCCTGGGCCACCTGCCGTAGCTGAGACCAACAATTACAACATTTAGACTCACCTACTGACTCATTGACTGCCATGGCCAAAAATTAACACCCTACCACATAACTACTTTTTCTACAAACAAATTATCATTATTATTATTATAATTATTAATATTAATATTAGTAGTAAAAAAATCTGAGCATTAAGACAGCTCTATCTGGATAGTTTGTCCCTTAACATGACTCTGGTATCAGATCTGACCTTTCTTCATCATCTTTCTCCTCCTCCTCTGAAGCTGCTGCTGGTTTGATCCAGGAGAGCAGGGTGCTGCTTCCCTGGGCTGCCTGCTGTAGCTCTCTTTCTTTTCCTCTTCTCAGCCTTTCTTTTCTTGGCATTACGCTGCAATTGGTAAATGAGATAAATCAATGTTCTGCAGGATGGTAAAGGGTTAAAGATGCTGGAGGACACTTTCTTCACAACAGTCCTAGACAAGTTTGTACCCTGGATAAGATTAAAAAAAAGATTATTCTAATAAAACAGATGAGAACAATTAAATGAATTAAATGAAGCAGAAGATCAGAAGCCTATGTAAAATAATTTTCGACTGCACCATAAAGGACACCTATATGTGTTAGTGGGTACCTACAACACAAACTGTCCTGTGGGAGACAGGGACATGAGCACCGAGGGGGAAAAAACACAACAAGGATGCATTTTAAGTGGATTTTATGAAAATTGATAAAATAAGAAAAAAGTATTAATATATTAAAATCTGAAACTTTGACTCACAATCAGCCTTTGAGCTGAACTTTGAGTCCAATTTAAAACTTATTTTTTATTTTTAATGTTCACTATGTGTTTGTCTTCACTACATCATTCTTTACTTTGATCAAAAAATAACATCTGCACCATATAAATGTTGTMTATGCTGTAACTAAGCTATCCTGACAAATCTACAGGATATGTCACATTAAATGAGTCATCTTCATAAACCTCAGTAACCAGTACTGTTCTTTAGTTTAAATTGACTATAACGAGAAAAAGTGTGATAAAATCTTTATCAAAAATGCACTTGTTTAGTACAACGTAAGTGCAATATACTGTATGTGTTAAATCTAATGTGGCTTCTCTGGGTAAAACAGAAAAAAATATGTCAGACTCTGTGTTTTTTTCTGGGCCGATCCCTGACCAGAGCTGTGATGAGATGTTTACACGTTCATATTTGTTGAACAACTGGCTCACCCTGTGGTGCCCTACAAACAACATGGGTTTCGTAAATAATTGGAGTGGATTTTGGGCAGATCTTGATCTGATCTGTAAAGATGGGATCCATCCCACTTATCGTGGAGCTGCTCTCCTCTCTAAAAATTTGGCTGATGTTATTGAGGGCAAACAAAAAACTGATGATCTGGAGGTATATTCAAGAGAAAATGACATTATCATCGTTGGATTGGACACAAAATATCAATATGGCAGCGATGTATCAACAAACAGAATGCAGCGAGTYAAAAATCTTGCATTTGCAAGATGCATTTGCTCTTAAACTAGGAAAGAAAATCAAAGCAAGATGGATCAGACATGGTGAGGTGTGGTTACGACCCAATGATGGAACCAGTCCTGTGCTTGTGAAGTTCTTAAAGATTTAGACAAATACAAATAAAATTTAATGAATGCTCTTGGATCTGGATAAAAAAAGACCAGACAAAGACAAACTATACCCAGACACTAACAGCCAATCACAGTTTAAACAAAGACACTTTAAAGCACATCAGCTCATCTCACCTGCWGTTTCACCTTCGTCTCCCAGTTTCAACACAAACCCTCCCCTTTCTGCCCACCTGGACCCTCCATGCACCCTCACACCCTCATCACACCACCTCCCTCACAAATCCCCCTCCCATCTTCCCCTTCATCCCTCCGTCATCCCTTCATTCTTTCATCACTTAGTCCTGCCCTTCATGCCTTCATCCCTCCCTCATCCCTTCATTCTTTCATCTCTTCATCCTGCCATTCATCCATTCATCCCTCCATCATCCCTTCATTCTTTCATCACTTAGTCCTGCCCTTCATGCCTTCATCCCTCCCTCATCCCTTCATTCTTTCATCACTTCATCCTGCCATTCATCCATTCATCCCTCCCTCATCCCTTCATTCTTTCATCACTTCCTCCTCCACTTCATCCCTTCATCCCTCCCTCATCCCTTCATTCTTTCATCTCTTCGTCCAGCCCTTCATGCCTTCATCCCTCCCTCATCCCTTCATTCTTTCATCTCTTCGTCCAGCCCTTCATGCCTTCATCCCTCCCTCATCCCTTCATTCATTTATTCCTCCCTCCTCCCCTTCATCCCTCCCTCATTCATTCATTCTTTCATCACTTCCTCCTCCCCTTCATCCCTTCATCCCTCCCTCATCCCTTCATTCCTCCCTCCTCCCCTTCATCCCTTCATCCCTCCCTCATCCCTTCATTCTTTCATCACTTCGTCCTGCCCTTCATCCCTCCCTCATCCCTTCATTCTTTTATTCCTTCCTCTTCCCCTTCATCCCTCCCTCATCCCTTCATTCTTTCATCACTTCGTCCTGCCCTTCATCCCTTCATCCCTCCCTCATCCCTTCATTCTTTTATTCCTTCCTCTTCCCCTTCATCCCTCCCTCATCCCTTCATTCTTTCATCACTTCGTCCTGCCCTTCATCCCTTCATCCCTCCCTCATCCCTTCATCCCCCCCTCATCCCTTCATCC